GAGTGTGAGCAAGTGCTTGAATTCGCGAGTTTGTGATCTAGCGAGTCAGTGAATTTGTGAGTTAAATATATGAGTGAGTTATGTTAGTGAGTGAGTGAGTGAGTGGAATTTATGAGTAGTTGAGTTAGGGAGCAGTGAAATTTATGAGTGAGCGAGGCAGCCATTCTGTCTCGCGCAAGCCTGTATTCAAATCATTGCCCGGATTGAACGCCTCGGGTGGGAAATGGCCGAGGGCGATGGCGATATCTATTTCTCTTTCTGTCTGTTCGCCTTTTCTCCTTCTCTTTATCTTTATCTTTATCTTTATCTTTCTGTCCTACGCGTTCTCTATCTGTTTTCTTTTTTCTCTTCCCTCTTTCTTTCTCGCCCCTCTTTCTTTCTCGCTCTTTTTCTGTCTGTTTTCCTTATTTCCTCTCTTCCCCCCTTTCCCTGTCCTTCCCCACTCCCCATCTCTCTCTCTCTCTCTCTCTCTCTCTCTCTCTCTCTCTCTCTCTCTCTCTCTCTCTCTTCTCTCTCTCTCTCTCTCTCTCTCTCTCTCTCTCTCTCTCTCTCTCTCTCTCTCTCTCTTCTCTCTTTCTCTCTTTCTCTCTCTTTCTCTCTCTTTCTCTCTCTTTCTCTCTCTTTCTCTCTCTTTCTCTCTCTTTCTCTCCCTCCCTCCCTTCCTCCTTCCTCCTTCCTTCCTTTCCTCTCACCCCCCCAAAGTCCAATGAAATTGAACCTCATTCGTTTCGTTAGAGGGATTGTGCTACGAAACGGAAGAGGCACATCGTTCGTTTGCCGAACTGATGTTCGTGGCTCAATTATGTCTTCGCTTTTGACGATTGTCGAACGAACAAGCGAGCACACGCGGGCACACGTACACAAAGGTGATGTGGAGGTCCATGGATTTAGGATGTGTGTGTGTGTGTGTGTGGGTGGATTTGTGTTGGTGTGCGTGGGTGGATGAGGATGGGGGGTGGGTGGGTGGGAGGTTGGATAGACGGGTGGGTGGGTAGATAGATTGATAGGTAGGTAGATCAATTGATAGATATATAGATAGACAGACAAACAAATTGATAGATAGATAGATTGATGGACGAGGTTAGATTGTGTGTGAGATTAAGCGAACAAATGTACGCGGCAATATCTGTGTATGTTTACTGGTTTGTTTATCTGTTTTTTTGTTTTTATTCGGGCATATTTATCGTGATTGACGGGCTTTGTTTACACCGGAAAGTATTTAGACTAAAACGCTTTATTCGGCAACCCGCGTTCACCCGGCACTCTATCGGGGATTCTGTTGGAGCGCACGCAGAAGCATTTTATTAATAGTATGCAAAAATATGCAAATTTGGGACACCAGGCATGTTAATGGCAACAGGCTTTTTAATTTTGTAGTTTTGCCATTTTGAATAATTGATCGGGAGTTGGGCTTTGAAGGATCTATTTTCTTTAGATTTACTTGTTTTAGGCTTTTATTCGTTTGTCCATTTATTGTTGTTGTTGAAGTCGCGGGTAATGCAGTTGTATTGTTTTTATTGTTATTATGATGATTATTAATGTTGTTTTTGTTATAATTTTCATCAGCATCACTTCTACTATTACTGTTATCATCACCATTATAACTTTGTCTTTCTGTTCATGTCTGTCTGCCGGGAAGTTTTGACATGACTTATTTACCGATCTTTCGACGTCAGTGCTTTGTTCGTTTGTTCTCACATTCTTCCTCTTAATATTCACCTTTCTCTGTCTTTTTTACTTCCATTTTCGTCACCCTCCCCTCCTCGAATCTTTCCTCATTCACTTTCCTCTTTATTTTTCACTATCCTAATCTCTTCCCCCATATCTTCTTTTCAATCTCCGTCTTCCTTTTCCTCATCTTACTCCCCCGCCCCTCTTTCTCCTCGTCTGCTTCTGCCTTTTCGTATCTCCCTTCTTTTCTCTCCTCCTCACATGCTTCCTCTTTAGCCTTCTTCTTCCTTCGGCTCTCTCCACCTCTCTTCACCTTTTTCTCTTCCGCCTCCTTTCTCCACTTCCATTCACACGACCTGTCCCTTTTGAATTTCTCTCTCTCCATTTCCTCTTCCTTCACTTCTGACTTTTTTCTCTACCCTCTCCTTTTCATATTCCCAACTCCATATAACTCTCTCCACCGCTTCCTCTTCCTTTGCATCATCATTTCACTTCTTCCTTTCCCTCCACTTCTTCCTCTTCCCCCTCTCTCTCCACCTCTTCCTCTTCCTCCCTCTCTCTCCACCTCTTCCCCTCCCTCGTCTTCCTCCCTATCTCTCCACCTCATTTTCTTCCTCTCTTTCTCTCAATCTCTTCGCTTTCCTTCCTCGTCTTCCTCCCTTTCTCTCTATCCACCTGTCCCTCTCCCTCTCCTTCCACCTCTCTCCTTCCACCTCTTCCCCTTCCTCGTCTTCCTCCCTCTTTATCCACCTGTCCCTCTCCCTCTCCTTCCACCTCTCTCCACCTCCGCAATTGCCTGGATCCCTTAGGACATTTTCCGACGGTCTTGTTAAGTTGGCAGAGCAGTGGGTTGTCGGGCGGATGAGATGAATGGATGAGTGGATTGGCTACGTATGTGGTAATATTTGGGTGGATTAGTGGATGAGTGAGTGGGTGAATGAAGTGGCTGCGTGTGTTAATATTTGGTGAGGTGAGTGCGTGAGTGGAGTGGTTGGATGTGGAGAGGTGGGCGGGCGTTTGAGTGAATGGATGAGCGATGGGGATGGATGTGTGGGATGGGTGAGTGGATGGTTGGATGAGTT